ATTTAACCTGAACCCAGAAATGGAATGTGTTTCTGTACACGTGTTTTTTTTTTTATAAACGTCAAAATATATATTTTAATTTAATATACTTTGAATATTTAGCAATAAACTAAATATGCATTTTACACATAATAAATGAGTTTGGATGTGTGACGGCTGCCACATCAGCAGGAGAAACTGATTCACGGTCAAAGGGCTTCTCGTAACTCATGTAAAGAGAATTGGGGGATTGTGGGTAATGCATGAGCTGATTAATGCACAGAGGGAGGGGGAAAGACAACACTAGCTAACTCACAGAGTGCTCATCTCCTCTGGGAACAAGAATGCTGCACAACAGACTCAGACTGAAACAAAAAATATGAGCGCTATGATGGAGGGAGAGATAAAGGACCAAAGGGAGAGTAGTAAAATGAAGCAGGGGAACGAGACGGTTGACAGACTGAGAGAATGAAGAGATGGCACAGATCCTGGAGTCTGGGACAGGAATGTTTCCATCACTCTCTACAGTAACAGTTTTAACAGAGAAGATCTCACATTTGAAGACCAGGCCAAAAACATGAAAGAACATCTTTAGCACTTAGAATCGGCCAAACCTGAACCGAAACATAAACCTTGGAGTCACCACAATCTTCAAAATGCAGCTTCCAAAAAGAGGTTTTCACAACATTTCCATAGAAGAACTATTTTGGATTTTAGTCACTTTCAGTGAAAAGTTTTTTTTTTTTTTAGTGTGAAGAACATTTTAATAATCTAAAGAACCTTTTTCCTCTATAAAGAATTTATTTTGTGCAATGGAAAGTTTCTGTGGATGTTAAAGGTTTTTCATGGAACCATCATTGCCAAAAAAAAAAAACTTTATTTTTAAGAGTGTGGGGTGAATGCTCACCATAAACACACGTAGAACATCATATAACACTGATTAAATGAAAATGTTGTGAACATCACCATTATGATTACATTTACATTTAATCATTTAGCAGACGCTTTAATCCAAAGCGACTTACAAATGAGAACAATAGAAGCAATCAGACCAATGAGAGAACAACAGTATACAAGTGCCATGACAAGTCTCAGTTAGTTTAGCACAGTACACGTAGCTAGGTTTTTTTTTTCTTCTTTTTTTTAAATAATAGAATGGAATACAACAGAACAGAATAGGCAAGTGCTAGTATTAGTTGGTCAGGTGCTGGCGAAAAAGATGTGTCTTTAGATGTTTTTTGAAAATGGGAATTGAGATCGGGAGGTCATTCCACCAGCCGGGCACAGTCCAGGAAAAGGTCTGTGAGAGTGATTTTGTGCCTCTTTGGGATGGCACCACAAGGCGCCGTTCAATTGCAGAACGCAAGCTTCTGGAGGGCGCACAAGTTTGAACTAGCGAGTTTAGGTATATTGGCGCTGCACCAGTGGTGGTCTTGCAGGCAAGCATCAGTACCTTGAATTTGATGCGAGCGGCTACTGGTAGCCAGTGTAAACTGATGAGGAGAGGAGTAACGTGAGCATTTTTTGGCTCATTGAAGACCACTCTCGCTGCTGCATTCTGGATCAGTTGCAGAGGCTTTATAGTAAATGCGAGAAGGCCTGCCAAGAGAGCATTACAATAGTCCAGTCTGGAGAGAACAAGAGCTTGGACAAGAAGTTGTGTGACTTGCTCTGACAGGAAGGGTCTAATCTTCGTAATGTTGTATAAGGCAAATCTGCAGGACCGGGCCGTTGTAGCAATGTGGTCTGTGAAGCTTAACTGATCATCGATCACAACTCCTAGGTTTCTGGCTGTCCTGGAAGGAGTTATGGTTGATGAACCCAGCTGTATAGAGCAGCTGTGATGAAACGATGGGTTTGTCTTAGTAAGGTTGAGTTGAAGGTGATGGTCCTTCATCCAGCTAGAAATATCTCTCAGACAGGCTGCAATACGAGCAGCTACTGTCGTATCATCTGGTTGGAATGAGAAGTAGATTTGAGTGTCATCAGCATAGCAGTGATAAGAAAAGCCATGCTTCTGAATGACAGATCCTAATGACGACATGTAGATGGAGAAGAGAAGTGGTCCAAGCACTGAGCCTTGAGGAACCCCAGTAGCAAGAAGTTGTTCCTTAGAAACCTCACCCCTTCAAGACACCCTGAAGGACCTACCTGAGAGGTAAGACTTGAACCACAGGAGTGCGGTTCCTGAGATGCCCTGAGATGATTATTAAGAAAGTTGCAGGCCAGATTCGAACCAGAGACATCTAACCACTGAACCACAGCTCTGTCAAAAGGAAACATTAACACTCATTCAGCGGACTGCTTTGTCTTGTTTGGAGGTTTGATCAATATTTGACCACACTGACCAGCAGAACGAGCCCAACAGCAAACAGTACCAGCTCAGTCAAGGTCACTGCAGATAATCTAATCCAGGATGTCCTGCTTGCCTAAAACCCAGCTGCTACAACATGTGCTCTTAGTATCATATATTTTTGTGGAACAGATAAAGTCAGCAACAGTGATTTACTGGGACCATGAATTAGTTTAGGGGGAAGCAAATCCTAAAATGAAGAGAGAGCTTTCATGTTTTTCACAGTCAATTTAAATAAATAAATAAAATAAGATTATAATTTAGAAATGAAAGCCACATGCCATTAAACAAAATACCAATAATGTATAAATACTGTAACTGTTGATATATATAAAATATATGTAACAAATTATGTTAAAAATACATATACTTTTTAATGTGTATATCAGTGCCAGATTTTATTTATCAGATTTTATTTCAGGTACAATTATTAAGCAACTTTGGTCTAACAGATTGTTTTTTTCTCACAGTTTACTAAAAGCACAATAGACGATGTAGTGCTGAGTGTATTTATTAAATGGAATTTGATTGCGTTATCAATATATACTTTACAATCATCAATAAACTGTTCCAGCTAAAATATTCTGAATTTATGTTAAAAGGGTAACACTAGAGAACAATACCAGGTAAAGCTTGAAATGGTCAGAGTGCAGCAAATTTGTTTTAAATTTTTTAATAAAAAATATATACATATTTTCGGAATTAGCTTTTTCATTATTAAAGTGGTTGAATTTATCAGAAATTCCACTTCCATTTCAATTTCTCTACAGAAATGAATGAGTAACTATGGTAACCAGATTTAGTTTTGCCCAATAAGTGTGTCGTACCTCCTGTATCTATGCAGAGTGATGGAGAAATTGTGTTTGTTTGTGTGTGATGTGGAGACTGGGGAGGGGTAGAGGGCGGATCCAAGACACTGTGGCCGTTAAGGAAAACCCCAGACCATCAGTATGATAACACAGTCTTGAGCGTCATGATAAACCTTTATCTTATAATATTAGTAATGAACCCTGCTTTTCTTTCCTTGTTGTTTGTAAACTATATTTCTCCCTCCTTCAGTGTGGCAGCCAGGCAAACCAGTGAACACTCTCACATGAGCGATACTGAACTGAACTTACACATGCTATTCAGAGAGCTGCACTGAAAGGTCAAGAATGCAACCATTTGGGCAAATATTTGATTTAAAACTAAGCAGGCTGGTGTAGGTGTGCTCAAAGAGAGCCAGTGAGGTGCAGAATGACCTGAGGGTTAACAGGCTCTTTGTGTACCTGAATGGAAGAACAGGAAGTGTGTGAACTCTTAGACAAACACACACTTCAAACACATACCAAACCAGTCAATATCATGATTTAGATATTTAGGCCACATATGCATCCCGCAAAGTGTTGAGTGTGACATGAATGCATTTAAATGCTGGAGTGTATAGCTAAATAACTTTTCTTTGAATATGCAATACAGGAGGCACTCCCTGTATGGACGCCAACAGATTAACCTCTTTGGTGCTATTTTTGATGGAAAAAACACTAGCGACTGCAGACATATTAATGTCTGGTAATTTTTTGTAACCCTCGATCCACATATGCATCATTTAGAACAACCGATAAACAACCAGTCTCTACCAAACCAATACTTATGTTCCATTCATCCGTAATATTAACATATTTTGCCTAATATACATAGTCTGTCCACCTCTGAATGATAGAAATCCACTATACATTAGGTCAGTTCTCTCCATAGTGTGTCCTTATAGCCTGTGACTGTATGTTTGGTGTATTTACTCCACTATAAAGATTATCTGTGATTCACACAGCACAGAACTGGAGCGCCGCCATGAAGGAGCCTCCCACTGAAAATGCTCAGTATTAGCAGCATGTATGTCCAAACAATCTTCTGAATGGCAAAATAACCTAACAACAAATATATTCTTAATATCTAATTTCCATTACAATAAAGTAATGGGGGGAGTCGTGGCCTAATGGTTAGAGAGTCGGACTTGTAACCCAAAAGGTTGCGGGTTCGAGTCTCGTACCGGCAGGGATTGTAGGTGGGGGGAGTGAATGTACAGCACTCTCTCCCTCCTTCAATACCACGACCTTGCCCTTGATTAAGGCACTGCTCCCCGGGTGCCGCAGCATAAATGGCTGCCCACTGCTCCGGGTGTGTGTGCTCACTGCTGTGTGTGTGCACTTAGGATGGGTTAAATGCAGAGTACTAATTCCTAGTATGGGTCACCATACTTGGCCACATGTCAGGTCACTTTTTCACTTAATAAAACATTTCTTATATAAGTCCGCCATCATGTGGTAAAAAATGGATATGCACATTTTGATCAACCTAAATCCAACATGTTTGAGACAATTCTGTGTTTTAGGACAAAAATTAAAGTGTGTCATTCCTGCAGCAAAGAAGGCACCAAAAGGAATGGTGAAAACAAAGCAAAGAAAAAAAAAGCAGGCTGAAATGATTTAAAGATTTCTCAAGCAAAACCCTTGATGAACCACAGCAAACAAAAGTTGACATTATTTGTAATAAAAAATAAAGTCACAATACAACAAAGGTCTTTAGGCTCCTTTTAAAAAAAACTTCATTTTTATTATAATTTTTAGGGTGAAATATGACTCAGACATGCTCTTAATATGTTTTGTGAAATTCATCCTCAAAGTCCTACCTGGATTGGCCCGCCATCTTCTGATCCGATCATGTTCCTCCACTCCAGCAGAGAGCTGCAGGTTGTCAAGGCCTGTTTTCCATAATCTGATGTCCACAGTCACCACTCCACCAGAGCCCAGAGGAGCCATCACTACATCTGTGTCTGAGACCTTTGAGATCCACACAGTGTAGGGAGACATGGAGCTGCTCCTGAACACGTCAGCATGACAGCCAATGATCAGAACCACTGGAAGATATTCAGCTGCCTTACACAGAGTTACATTAACCTAAATGTAAGGCCTTTTGAAGACATTTTGAAAACAGCAAACATAAAATTACACATAAAATCATCAGGGTCAGATGAACATATTAGGGCTAGAAGGTGTTAAAATGTCAGAAGCCAAAGTACAAAAATACAGAAGTGTCAGAAGACAGAGTACAAAATTAGGTAATCAGGTAAAAATTTAAAGGAAGAGTTCGCACAAAAATGAAAATGTACTCACCCTCAGGCCATCTAAGATGTAGATGAGTTTGACTCTTCATAGGAACAGATCTGGAGAAATTTAGCTTTACATCACTTGCTCACCAATGGATCCTTTGCAGTGAATGGGTGCCGTCAGAATGAGAGTTCAAGCAGCTGATAAAAACATCACAATAATCCACACCACTCCAGGCCATCAGTTACTGTCTTGTGAAGTGAAAAGCTGTGTTTGCAAGAAACAAACCCATCATTAAAAGATTTAAATTTAAACAGTTGTTTTCGACCAAAATATGAGTCCATAATCCATAAAAATGCTTCCTCCATATCTCCCACAGAAAATCCTCACATTAAAATCCACCAACATATTTGTTTAGAGCTGTTTTGGACTGTTTTCACTTGTAAACGGTGCTTGATCTGCATATTTCTCTTCTGATTCAGAGATGACAACTTTTCACTTGAGAAAGTAATATTATGGGTAGAGGACTATTTTAGTTAATTGATGGACTGGAGTGGTGTGGATTACTTGTGGATTATTGTGATGTTTTTATCAGCTGTTTGGACTCTCATTCTGACGGCACCCATTCACTGCAGATGATCCATAGCTGAGCAAGTGATGTAATGCTACATTTCTACAAATCTGTTCCGATGAAGAAACAAACTCATCTACATCTTGGATGGCCTGAAGGTGAGTACATTTCAGCAAATTTTCATTTTTGGGTGAACCATTCCTTTAAGCAGAATGCAATTTGCATTCTCATCTTGTAAACCGTTTCTGGCTTATTTTTGTTTATTTACTGGTAAAAAACAAAAAACATATTCTATTATATAAAAAGGGATATTCCTGAATATTTTATGAACATCACTGTCACAATATAATTTATGCACAAATATTCATCACATTAGGTTACTTACAACATAATGTAATCATGTAAATGATATTTATATTATTACATCATTTTAAATGTACTGTATCCAAATGGCTGGTAAAATTAATGGTATTTAGCAAAAGGCTTTGACCGAACAGAAGAGGGAGCTAGAGTTTAATGAAAGAGTCTGACTCTGTACCTCGGGACTGGAATGTATTTGAGCTTCTTAGAGTTCAGGTCTGTCACTTCAAGGTAAGCAGCAGTCATGGGTGGTGTGATATCTGTTGGTCAATCAATACCATCATTATCATAAGTAAAGCCCCATTATATTTGCTAATAGATTTGTTTATGATGTGTACAAAATATTCATCACATTAGGTTACTTACAACATAATGTAATCATGTAAATTATATTTATATTATTACATCATTTTAAATGTACTGTATCCAAATGGCTGGTAAAATGAATGGTATTTAGCAAAAGGCTTTGACCGAACAGAAGAGGGAGCTAGAGTTTAATGAAAGAGTCTGACTCTGTACCTCGGGACTGGAATGTATTTGAGCTTCTTAGAGTTCAGGTCTGTCACTTCAAGGTAAGCAGCAGTCATGGGTGGTGTGATATCTGTTGGTCAATCAATACCATCATTATCATAAGTAAAGCCCCATTATATTTGCTAATAGATTTGTTTATGATGTGTACATATGAATGTGTCAGAGCTTAACCTTTGGGGTAGATCTCAGTCAGTGGGACTTGTGTAGGGGGCAGTGCTCGGACCACTTGATTGACACCTAACACAGACACAGTTGACCCTCTTTGCTGGCCCGGTTCGCTTACTTGGCCCAAAAAACATATCAGGTCCCTGACCCTCTGTTATGGGCGAAGATCTCTTAAAGCTGTACACTTCATTTGGGGACTGTGGAAATACAATACAAAACATGTAATCACTTGGGTTTGCCATACAAGAGTATCCATGATAATAATAATAAAAATAAAAAAGCACAGTTTAAAACATGTGCCACATTTTTAGAAAAATGCACTCTCTGTGTTGGATTCTTATGGTTTTAAAATTATTTACAGTTTACAAATAAGAACACAAATAACAATTTTAACATTTTCAAGAAACATTTTATTACAGTGACTTCAAAAATGTCATTTAATAAAAAAAATATATAGAAATATTTTCTTACACCTTGAAGACGTGTGTGTATGTGTATTCATTTTACAACCTAAACCTACCTTAACAAGGTTTCCTTTTAAATTATTATGAGAGACTTACTAATATTCTATGAAATAATTTATCCAAAAATTATTCATCACATTAGGCTACTTACAACATAATAATAATGTAAATTATGTTAATACCATTACATCATTTAAATTGACATAAAACATTTAAGACATTTTAAGGCCTTGATTTAAAGAAAATCAAAATTAATATTGCAAAATCAATGTGCACTTCAACATTTTGAAATTCAAAATTAAAATTTCAAAGTGAATGTGCACTTCAAAAATAAACAGATTTGGACTAAAAAAGCACCATATCACTGATCTATAGAATTAATCTGTATTTTACCACAGTGTATGTCATACCCACCATGAGATCTGAGAAGTCCACAATAACATTAGCATAGGTGTTAGTGTCACAGAGGATGTGGTTTGGAGAAACAATCTTCTGGCCCAGGGCAGTGCTGAGGTTCTCACTGGGCAGCTGCTCATTCGATACCTCCTGAGGAGCTGTGGCTTCCATCCCTGAAGCACAAAAACAGTCAGACCATCACTCCACTCTAAAATGACCCCCTGTAGAGATGATAATGTGTCCCTCACTACTAAACCTATAAAAGGGTTCAGAGTGTTTCTATCATGACTCTGCATTTGTGACATCTTTATACCCCAGTTTAATTGGTCATTATTCAGACCTTCTGGTGACATTCTGTCACACTCGATTTGATAAAGACCCCAATCCTGCTGATGGGAACTTTTGATGTCATCAAAAACATGCTAATTTTTCAGAGCAAACGCTGAAGCGTGTCTGACACTTTAGATGTACGATGCCCACTAAGTACAGGCGTTAGTCTATCTCTATGACAGCAACATTAATCTCAGTAAATGATACTATGAGCTATTAAGCGTCTTTCTGCTCTTCATGCTCCAGAAACAAGTGCTGAAGGAGAAATGACAAGGGGCACTTCATCAGAAGGAAGCTATGGTTATGTAACCCCGGTTCTGTGATACCAGAGTGAGGAATCTCACCACACTTTCCTCCTTGCAGCAGCAGGGAGAAGACATGCTGAGAATGACATGACGACATGACGACTGCTCTTATCATCTGATTGTGGTTGTATCTCTCTATTAGTGCTATTGGATCTTAGCGCTGTGTTTGACAATATTGACCACAACACTCTTTTGCATAGACTAGAAAACTTTGTTGGCATTAATGGAAGTGCTTTAGCATGGTTCAAATCGTACTTATATGACCGCCATCAATTCGTAGCAGTGAATGAAGAGGTATCATATTGATCACAAGTGCAGTATGGTGTACCTCAAGGCTTAGTACTAGGGCCGTTACTCTTCATGCTTTACATGTTACCCTTGGGAGATATCATCAGGAAACACGGTGTTAGCTTTTACTGTTATGCTGATGATACTCAGCTCTATATGTCTTCGCAGCCCGACGAAACATACCAATTTGAAAAACTTGCGGAATGCATAGTCGATATAAAAAACTGGATGATGAGTAATTTCTTACTGCTAAATTCTGTAAAAAAAAAGGGTTTAATATAAGAACCAAAAAATCCTCAAAATAAAA